GTTTCATATGAAACAGTATATAATATGAAATTACATTGGGAATATGTAAATATTGACCATTATTAGACCGTAATTATCAGCTTATCATATACAGAAATTCAACATCAGTTATGAACAATAGCACTTTGGAAACCAGTCTTCAGTGAATTTATCTTGATATATATATCAAGATAAATTCACTGAAGACTGGTTTCCAAAGTGCTATTGTTCATAACTGATGTTGAATTTCTGTATATGATAAGCTGATAATTACGGTCTAATAATGGTCAATATTTACATATTCCCAATGTAATTTCATATTATATACTGTTTCATATGAAAATGCGAGCATCTCAAGTTTAATTTAACACTTGATGTTTTAGTACACTGATTAAATGGTGTTCTCCGTGCACAACATTGCTGACATGGAAACTTCTAAAGCACTTCATATATTTATAGTAGCCATTATCTAGGGCACTCTTGGCATGACCGGTCATTCTCCTCTAAGTACTCTCAGGATGTTGCGAAACAATTTCTGCATGGGACTGCATGAACTGAGTTGCAGAAACATTCCTCAACTTCAAAAAGAGTTAACATTGCTCAAAATATTTATGCTTGTATTTGCGTATGCTGATATCAGTTTTCTTTTGTACGTACTAAAACAACTGTTATATCTGCCTCATGCATTTCTATTCTGGAGTGTGGTACAACTGGCACTGACTTGTGAGTTGATCTGTGCTGCTGTAAAACGATGATGTTATGAACTGCAGTGACACAAAGGTAGAGGATCCATCCGAGTCTTAACTGTCAGAGCCGATATGAGTGACTCTGAACAGTGATTGACTCTGGGACATGTACATGTGAGGATCTTTTATATGGGGTTTTCTCATTAGCATGCTTGTCAGCAATCCATTCTAAAAGAGTCCTTTGCTGACAACAGCTGCATTAGCTGACACATTGACAACTAGACGGATGTACTGTTACTTCCTCTACAGTCAAAAATCTGGGTGTCATATTAGATAGCAACTTGTCTTTTGAAAATCATATTTCCCATGTTACAAAAACAGCATTCTTCCATCTTAGAAACATTGCCAAGTTATGAAACATGTTACCTGTTTCTGATGCAGAAAAGCTAGTTCATGCATTCATGACCTCTAGACTGGACTATTGTAATGCACTGTAGCATATTGGCTGTTTATTAGTACTTATACTGTAAAGCACATATTGATGCTTTATTTTGCATGACCATCCCTTAGATCCCTTAACCCTACCCAATACTTAAACTTAACTACCTTACTAACTTAATAATCAGCAAATTAGGAGTTTATTGAGGCAAAAGTCATGGTTAAAAGTTAATAGTGAGAGTTGGACCTTAAAAAAGAAGTGTGACCTGATTTCTTTATTTTAGTGTTATTTTAGTATTTTATATACTATTATAGTATTTATTTATTTATTAGTAATTATTAATATTTTTAATTCTAAAATATTTAGCAGTTTTGCATTTTCAGTTGCCATTTTAATTTTAGTTTGTCATTTTGGTTGTAGCTTTTGTCATTTTTCTTAAATATTTTTATTTAGCATTGTTACATTTATATGTAATAGTAATTAAATTTAAACCTATTTTATTTCGGTTTCTAATTTTTGTTTTTAGTGTAAGTTTTTCCTATAATATGTATATTTTATTTTATGACATTTCAGATTTATTTCAATCAAGTTTTAGTTTTAGGTAACAACAACAACAGATAATACTTGCTTACTGGCAAGAAATTCTTTTATAATCTCTCTCTCTCTCTCTCTCTCTCTCTCTCTCTTGTTGGTGTTACAGAAATAGCAGAACATTAACTCAGCTTTTATGTACTCACATTTGATACATGAAGTGAATTCAACTTTAAATTGTGTGTTTCAGACATTCTCCTTTAGGCCCTGCGAACACTGTAGCTGCCATCAGTGCAGCATATAATCCACATCACTCTCTAGTATGGCCCAGCAGGGTCATGTCACAAACAGGTTGATCAACAAACCATTGTTCCCAATATAATGAATGTTAAAAAGCATTTGGGCCCAACAGATGCCACTCTCCAATTGGGGGTCTGGTAAGCGCAGCTGTCTGAAACAGGCAAATCCTGTGTCCCCTCCATGCCCTTTTAAGGAGACAGGACCCTTTCAAAGTGCCTGTGTTGGTTGCTTGCTTTGTTTGACCACTGGGCCTCCCACATAGCAGCGCTAATAGATTACAACCCAGTAAATATTGCCACAGCAGAATTACAACTGTTACTGTACATTAATAGCGCAACTGGGACACCCAAATTCCTTCGTTTATCTTTCCTGAATGTCATAAATGTACTTTTTCAGTGTTTATTCATCAAAAATATGCTAATTCCATTAGCAATGATCACATTTTGGTAGACAGCATCATCAGAGCTATAATAAGATGCTAGAATTGGTCACGGTACATGAGGGTTCAAGGGAATCCGAATGGATTGTGTTCTGTAGATATCTATCAAGCTAGCTTGAAAAATGGCTAATAATAGCACATTAACAAAGAGGCTTAAACTTCATGGTGCTCACACATAATCCAACTTTGGCACAGCAAGCTGAAGGGTCTATAAGAAACTCCAGAAATCTGATAACAAAAGGTTAGAAAATACTATCACGCTGATATCACGGTCTTTTTCAGTCAGGCTTGAGCTTTGAGGATCACAAATAGAACATTATCTTCTGTTCACCAAGCCTGAAACAATGCAAGATAACAAACACATGCCAAAACAGGAGGCAATGCCACCTTTAACGCCAAATGGTCCTTCGAAGATGTTGAAAGAAAATGAATCATTTCTGAAATGCACGTTTTGACCCAAAGTACATGTGTAGAACCAAACTAGCATTTTACAAAACCATACTCATCATAGTGAGGTTGTTTGCTCATTGTGTTGAGTGAAAGAGATAACGGGGGAGAAGGTGACAAATAAGGAGTTGGAGCCAAGCAAGCAGCACTGAGGAGCAGCACTGATGTGTAGCCAGGAGCACCTGTCACTCAACATGACCCTAAAAGGACAGAGCTGGGCCAATCAGAGAACAGCAGTTGCAGAGAAAGGACACGGGTCCTGCTTAACACCCCCACACCTCTCAACTGTCTGGCATGTTATGGGGCCCGATCACATACCAGGGCTCAGGCCATTTGACAAAGGTGGTGTTACTCAGGTCTGGCTCCTAAATGTGACCCCGCCACACATCTAGTCTTCCAAATGCCTGTGATGTCAAACCATTTTTTTGACATTGTAGGTCATATATTTATCTTAAACATTTAGTTGTATATTGTTCTGGGTCAAAGGTCATGATGTGTGATTTCCTGACATTCTTATTGGTACAAATAGTAGCTAAAACCTTAAAACGAACATTTAAACAGGTTATTTGTACATTTTTGTGTGTATAATGGCAATCACAAACTATTTTCCATGTGCTATTGTCTTCTTATGCTTAAATAATATTAATATTCTGGTCAATACAATTATTATTGGACAAGAAATGGTCAATATTAAAATTATATACTATTTTGACTAATTTAAAAATAAAACACAAAAAATTAAAAACCAATAATTTTAAATGCTACAAGTGAATTTCATTCAGTGTTATTTTAGTATTATATTTAAATGCTATTATAGTATTTATTCATATTTTGAATGAGTTTTTATTTTTATATTTTCAGGTTTCAATTTTAGCTTAGGTTGTAGTAGGCTAATTTTGTTATTTTTATTAGTTTTTAATATTTCTATTTAGCTTAATTTTTGTTAGTTTTAGTTATAGTAATTTTATTTCTTCAGCTTCAACTTATTTATTTATTTTTTGTTATTTGCCAAGGCATCATTTTTAATTCTTTAAGTTTATGATTTCAACTAATATTTAAATTTTATTTCAGATTTATTTTCATCTTAAAATAAATTATTTTTCATTGGTTTAGTTTCAGTTAACAATAGCAAAACTTTCGGTATTGGACTTTCGGCTTCACAATATAAAGTACAGCATGAAAAATTATATTAATTTTGAGATTTGCTAAATTTGAACAGTGTTATCAAATTATTAATGTTTTAAAAGATTAATTTTAAGTGTGTGTTAGATGATGGCAAAGGTCATCTTAAACGTAAAAATGTACAACAAAATTTTCAACATCTGCCAACGATTTAAAAAAAACCCTCTATTGTCTAATAACTGTTATCCTTACAAAAATGGCATTGTGCGATATACATTAATATTTTTTTCTTTAGCCACATCCATAGAAAACAGTGCTGTTCTTTATGATTAAATCACATTCATCAACAATTAATCATCCTATAGCACTATTTTGTGTGTTTTTTTTTTGTCACACAAATAACAGAACATGACATAAAACATTATATCATATGTTAAAAGATATGGAGAACAATGAAAGAATCGTACTTGGCTTCTTTTGGCCTTCCATTTGGCTCTGAAATCATAACAAACCATTTCCCACTGCTTATTTTGCTACCATAGAGGATCTGTCACCTCTTAAGAAACATCTGTCCATTTTGGTAATCAAG